TAACGTCACTCGTAAGTAATTCTTGCACATGTTATTTTTTATCTTGTTGGCATGATCTTGTCTGACAGTATCAGCAGTCACGGATATTAATGATTATCAGATCCCATCAGTTTATATTTGGACACGTACCGAGGATCATAATATGGATTCAACTTGCGTAACGTTAAGAGAAGAGATATGTCAACTGATGCATTTTGAGTCGTGCTTTTCATTGATGATTTTTGACACTTCCTTCTTAGGAATAAAAAAGCATTGATATTTGTCTAGACAATGCGACTTGACACTACAAACTCACAGAAGAACCAGTGACTGCGAAACATGCTTCAGCAAAGGCAGAGATTCAATAATGGTTGAACGATAGAAAAAATCATTAAAGTTCAATTGTTAGAACCAGTCGATCAAAATGATACAAAACAGCTGATCGAGCAGTTTGTGGTGACGGTGGACGATAAACGTGCCACTTCGTATTTTCATCATGTTCGTGGAATTGAAGAAACGTACAAAGCGGCGGATGCAATTATCGAATAAGATATCGAACTGCATTTACGATCTGACAGTGGAGAAGCAGAGTCAGAAAACGAATAGTAAAACACAGAATAAACGTTCTTTTTTTATTCATTATTAGTTCAGTCCAATACGTTTTTGTTTGAAGATAACAGAATCTCAATTTCTGTAGAAGATTTTTGAAAAATTTAAAGATGAAAAGATTAAGTAAACTGAAAGAAAAAATTTTTCCTCAAAACTATCTTCAAGATCAGCATTCTTGCAGTTCAGCACTCATGATCTAAATATAAAAATGCGGCGCAATAATAAAATGAATACTTTCACATCGCTTAGTACGGTAAAAACAACTCGTATTTTGCTTATATTCTCATCAAATGTTCATTTGTTTTTTGCAAAAGATATCTTACGTGTAGTTTCATTCTGTCGTGAGGCACCGGAGAGGATTTTTCTCCACAAACGACATAGAACAAAGCAAATTTGGTCCGTACATTCCTAAAAACTCTAGTCAGACTTATAGAATATCCCTATCGGTACTGTAGTGGAAGATACTAGAAATGCCACTATTTGAAACATTTCTGGATTAATAATTATTCCCTTTTCTGAAAGAAAGGGTTATACACCGGTTACGTCTGAGGCTCCAAGTGCTCAACGTTTGTCTGTCTGTCAAACTGTGTCAGAAATCAGCATTTACCAAATCAATTAAATTTAAAAAAAGATGTCTTTCTACGAAGAAAAATTATTGCTGTTACCTTGATGCATTTATCACGTGTATCATCTATTTTTATGTTGCGCTTTACACTGATCGTTATTGATTGATGGCCTAAAGTATATAATTTAGTTTTTCTATTTCGAAACGTTCGAAAATTTATGCATTCAAATAGCCAAAAAAGTACATCGATATGGAATGGATACAATCTCACAGACAAATTGAAATAGTATCAATCTTTTCAAAAAAGAAGAGGAAGATAAAGATAAATATATAAGAATAAAGTCACAGCGAATTTCTGTATAAGTCATCTCGTTTAAAAAAATACAATTTGATCGGATGATTTCTTTTCTTGCGTACTGATCCATACAAATTGTAATCTATCAATCCATAAACCTGATCTACCTTTCGCATACGCAAATATATAACCAGGAAAATGCTCTGTTGTTTTTTCCGCATTTTCAGTCGATCCAAATATATCACTGGCTTCTCCTTTTACAGTAAAAAATTGTATAGCTGTAATAATCGGTATGGTGTTCTGAATCCATTCATATCGCTGACGCTTTCCAACATAAACATCTATCTTTTCAATATGATCATCTTTTTTCAAGATGAATATATCTTGATTTAAGTCTAATGAATCAACGCTTCCTCCATCACGACCACGATGCTTCCCAGAACGATTATATTTATTGCTTGATGTTGCGTATTGGAAGCAAATCGATGTTAGTTTTTTATCGTATCCTCGATTATTACAGCTATACAATTTTTTACTGTAAAAGGAGAAGCCAGTGATATATTTGGATCGACTGAAAATGCGGAAAAAACAACAGAGCATTTTCCTGGTTATATATTTGCGTATGCGAAAGGTAGATCAGGTTTATGGATTGATAGATTACAATTTGTATGGATCAGTACGCAAGAAAAGAAATCATCCGATCAAATTGTATTTTTNACAGAATGAAAACACAATATTATACGTAAATCTCCTCGGACATAAACGAAGTCCGATAAAATTAAATAGAGTGCTAGTCTCCGTTGGTTTAAAGGCATTTTAATATGTTCCAGGGGTATAAATGACTGAATCTGAGTTCAATTTGGTTGAACCTATCACAAATCAAGAGATAACTTGACTCGACTTGACTTGGAGCAAAAAGCCGATGACTTGCCCATATGTGGTCTCTCCATCCAAATTACAAGCAATACCACGATTATTATCTTGAAATTGAAATAATTTTGGGTTAAAATTCGATTTTCTCCAAAGGCTCAATGGATGATTTCAACTACAGTATATAGGAGCATGTTCACCTTCAGAAACATCCATAGAACTCTTAGTTTCAGAGGCACTACATTCTTCAGATTCCATGTTGCTGAAAATTCCAGTGAGCTCATCTGCACCCGTTTTTTTCGTTGATGTCATTGTAATGTTTAAGACAAATATGAAATGACAAAGCAAGGCATATGTATTTGTATAAAAAGAAAGATAAAAAGAATGCACTCAAAAGAAAAAGGATTATTGAGAAAGTGGCTAAAAGAATTTACGTGAAATATCTTATATGTGATCATCTGGTAGTGCCGCAATACAAATATCACATACACATGCAGAACGAAAAAAAGAAAAGCGAATACATAATATAAACAACTATATTTCGACGTCCTAGAAGTGCTGGATATCGTTAACGTCACAGTTTTTATCGTTAAAATATTAACCAAGACGTATTTCGCATAGGTACAGATTATATAAGAATCAAAACGCACATATGTGCTTTCCGTCCCCAAGGAGTTAATTTATTCGAGACGGAATCATATTTTGTGAAGGAAAATATTTTCTAATTCTTTTTTTCTGCAAGTTTATTAATGTGCGAGAGTATAAGTACGAAAAAGGTTAAACTCGACTTCGATCTTTCGTTTTTCATATTCTTCAAAAACAAGTACGATGATAAAGATATTGCATATCTCTCGATAGCCTTATTATAATATAATTATTTTTCACACTGTCGAATTACTTTTAAGATATGAAATTGAGTAAGAAGAAAAAGTAATGGATAGATCAAAATATATTCTGAGTCAATTTCACAAAAGAATATTTATCGAATGTATAATATATCATGTTTTGTTTCATCATTTCATGCAAGTTTTTCGCGTAATCATAACGTGTCGGTTGCGAAGTGAAATGGACTGAAGTCATTTGCAATTTCAAAATAAGTAAGATTACCAAAAATTTCTCGTAAATGTTGAATTAAAATGGACAAATCTGTTGCATTTATTTCAGCATATCGTATTAACCATGGAAATATTTTTGATAATTGATAGAAAAAAGGAATGACCATCAAGAGATATTTGTGTTATATAAATGGAATTCTGAATAGTTTTGTATTGATTGAAATGAAGATTTTTCAACCATTTGATTATTGTTTATGTTTTATTACAATTATGAATAGAAATTATGTGTAAATTCAATGATAAAAGAAGAAGTTTCGACATTAATTGATTGTTCGCCGATGTAAAATGACAAAAATGTTGAAAATCAGATGTTTTATCAATAATTTGTAAATGAGTACATATAAATATCTGTTTTGAAGTGGAATGTGATGAAAGAATAAGTTGAAATCCATGTCAACGATTAATGATAGTATGATCGAAAGAAGAAATGTTTTTCATATTTGTGAAACAATGATTAGGTTGATCTTTTGTATGAATATGATATTGAAAGATTTTCAATGGTGAAAAGTCATTAGTTAAATGTTGAATGATTTCATCATTGAAAAATTCCTTGTCAGCATGAATTCTAATTAATGTCAATTATTTGAGATTAGTTTGAAAAAAAACTCAACAAATCTTTGAGCCATTTGACATTTTGTCGATAATTGCAATGGTTGTTTTTTTCCATCGAACCAAATTTGATCGTAAGTTTATCAAGTAATGAGCGAATTTGTAATTGATAACCGTCTTTGAGATGACCATGATTATCATCGAATAATGAAATTTTTAATTCTTCCAGATTTATTACAATTTCAAAGATTTTCTCTAAGGAATAAATATTATTTAAGGTGATTGAGAAACGTTTCATATAAGGCATTTTAGCAGCAGAGGAAAGGTGTGAAGAATCATTCAAATGAGATTAAGAAAGGGTTAATAAGTTTTGTGATGCGTATTTTGAAATAATTCTCAAAGTTTTCGTTCGTGGATCAACTGACGGTTCACTTAAGACGTTTAGGCAGATAAGGTTTTTGAGAAATTGTTCTAATTATTCAAATATTTTTCGCTGTTAGTCGAAATTAAATGTCAGCAATTGAATTTGATGATTATGAAAAGGAAAAGTATCATCAAGAAACAATCGAATAGTCTTGTAATTGGCATAATTTGCCCGTGTAATATCGATTCTGTAGAAATATGAATTCAGAATGCGTTAAAAACGATAAATGCACAAATAATGTCGAGATTTTTTAGATGAAGAAATATCAGTAAGAATAATTCATCAGGTAAACATTCGATGATTGAATAAGAAATATTTGACGTCATACTTGTTTTTTTCTCTTCAGGTGTCTATGTACAAACGTATTTTTTGACAAAATAAAGAATCATGTGATATTATTGAATGTATTGAATCGGAACTAACTGAAAAAGAGGAAATTATTTTCTCTAAAACAACACATGTCGACGTTCTTTGTGCGACTTTCCTTTAAATGAGATTAACATGAAACAAAAACAAAGATTTCGAAGTTCAATGTTCAGATCTGTTGAATGACAGTTTACACTTCTAGTCGAATACCATAGAGATGATTCGAATCTAGTCAGTAATACGTCGTTGGTAATAATTTAATATAAATATTTTCTTCAATTCTTCTCGGTAGATGCTTCCCGAAAGAATATAAAGGAATGTAGAGAAAATATAATTACCTTGTTGCCAAAGGAGAGTCATACTACGGATATTAGTAATTAAACTTGTATTCATCGAGGGTATCAATGTCGTTAAGATATATGTTACTGCAGCAGGAATTGAGAAGAAAACGTATGCAGTAACTTGAACAATTAACATTCGAGCTAATTGACTTTCCGTTCGACGGTGACGACGAGAATGTATTGTTGATACACGACGTACTTGACTTCGAATGTTAGAAATTGTTAATAGACCAAATATGCCCATGACTAATGGTGCTAAGATATAATAAACAATAATTCGACTAGTAAAATACATAGTGATAATCGTTGATGATAATTGTGTGCATCGATTAGTCGTGAAATTCCAATAATAGATAATACAAAAAGGACTTATATAAATAAGAACCGAAATAGTGATGACAATAATCAATATTTGTGCTATTCGTATATTACTTAGATTGCGTAAATGCACTGAAGAAGAACTAGCAAAAAATCGGTCAATTGAGGCACATACCAACATTAGGGTAGCAAGTAATGATGATGAATAAATGATAAACAACATACTTCGACATCCAAATGATGTAGTAATAGGTGAGATTCCGAAACGATATTGAAGAAATAATATCATTGGCGAAACAATCATATAGATGAGAGAAGCAAATGCCAAAGCAAGAAAATAATGACTACATGAATATGATTGAAGATTTCCACGAGAAAAAACAACAATATTAATAATATTAGCAATCATTGTAAATATAAGTATAGCTGGTGAAATATACGTGTAGATTATACTGAGTTCATAGCTCAAATTCGTTGATGTCGATGAAGTTGTTGTAATATTCATAGTATTTGATATTTTAATAATATTTTCATCTACTTCTTGTGCCATTTAATATGTTTATGCTTGTCGTCAATTGACGTCAGCAAATATCCTATCTGTAAGTGCATTTTAGATATTAATTAGACATAATCTTCTGACAATTACTTCCTTTGGTAAGAACGCAGTTTTATATCATGAAATTTTTTAATTTAAGACTGCAATGTATAGTTCTCCGAGCAGAAGCACATAATGAGAGTGCGAGCATTAAAGTGACAAACTACTGTCAAACTGATTTTGATTCTATTTGATAAATTAATTATTACCATTTCATTGTTGTATGACTATCTTTACAGTTTTCCAAAGAACTTTTACATAAATGTATCATGATAAATAGATATATTATATGTTGATTGGTGATTTTTATATAACAAATGCATTGTTTACTATCATGTCTAATGGCAAGTTAGCAGAAAAATAAATTTTTCCAAAGCAGATTTGTGTTCATCTTATCAGATAAAAATATAAAGAAATGTGTGAGAACGAAAGCTGGAGATTAAATAACGGCATCAGAGTGGATTATTTGATGCGTTATAGAAACTTACAAGATATTTCATTCAATTCGGATAACAAACTAATTTCTGTAAATTGAATATACTGTTCATCACACACTTTACATAATCAATAGCTGACATATGTCACTTAGAATACGAGAATGACGATTGTGTGCTTTACTCTAATGAACTTCTCGCCCTCACCCGATACATCGAAAAGCCAACCAAAATCTTTTTTCTTTTACATTTTCATCAGTGTCTTTAAATGTCGTAATACACGATGTCTTTTGTGTGTCTAAAATTTCCCACATGTCGAGTGCACAACTAAGTGGAAGAGTAAATATTGTTGTTCCTTCTAAAATACCAATTTCAGCTGGACGTAATTTATTTAAAGTAATTGCCATCCGAGTGTGGACCCAATTCAGTATAGTATAATATAAGCAAGTATTTATTCTTGTGAGTAGGTATCCAAACCGTGTCACGAAGGTGTAATATGGCAATTGTATGACATCGGAATCGACTGGCCAAAGATTGATCACATTCTAGGCTTGAATATTCTTTAGTATAATGTTTTAATGTTTCACAAGCAATACTTTTTGGTCTACTATTATTAATAGTATTAATTTCATTAAATTCAATATTTAATTTTTGAAATATAAATAGATTTAACTCGAAATATCAATTATTCGTCTATGATTTTTTAATATCTAATAAAATAAAACCTCGTATGACATCTTTCGAAAAGAAATTCTATTTATATCAGAAACCTATCATTTGAAAATGATAATATACAACTTTCAGTATAAATTAACCTGTAATTGCATATGATTGCTATGAGCAGCTATGGACTCGTCGTTGCCATTTTCATTAGGAAAATCATTTGGAATAATAACAACACGCACTTCAGCAACAGACATCATACATTTGTATATCGAAATGTTGCACAAAATCAATAAGAAAAATCCTCTCTTCTATTTTGGTCATTCTATACATTCAATATAGTATAAACGTCACAAAATACGTTTGTTTCTAGTGATTATTTATTTATCAATTGAGAATCAGTAATAAATACAAAATAAGACTAATTAGTTCTGGTCATTACATAAAAGAAATGTCAATAATCATTTTCTCTTACCTGAACTTTGCTACAATTAAGATAATGAAAAGGAATAAAAGGTAAGTGCACAAAATGTACTTACTCCAGAAATAGAATGTGAGTATTCGTATCTGTACTTGAGAGACAAAATAAAAAATATTTTTGAAGTAAAATTAGTATTTCAATCAGTGATTGGATACTTAATATTTAATAAAATTCTCTGTCTCATCATATTTTGCGAAGAAAGCATTGTTGTTCACATGAAAAGGAATATCTGTATGCAATCTATTTCTATTTGTTTCTTTTGCACATGTATGAAGGATAGCTATACATAAGCCCATTAAAATATTCAATATGAAATAAAACTCAACGGTTTTCTTTAGCACAATGCGAAATTTTATTAAACTCAATGAGACATAACCGATAAATAACAGTCATATAAGAACTTCTCACCAGGCATCATCGTGATTACTTTCGGCATCCATGAAGACAAACAATTATTCGACATCGTTGAAACTCTTTAGCACAGGCCTATAATGTCTAAGTAAATTGATTACATATCCAGGTTTCGTTGTTCGTATAGACACCACTGAAGTATGGAGTTTCGGAATATTCGTAGGCAGAATCAAGCCCGAAGGCAATTATGTTATTATTAAAAAGTGCTAAGTACAAAATGTACTGCAGTACCAATATCCAGTATATATACGCAGCACGTGTACATGTCTAATCACTGATGTCAATACAAATAAATTCTTACAAAGGTTTCAAGCGTTGTTTAGCACTACCAGTGTTTTTTGAAAAATTGTCTTGCGCTGATTGGCAAGGTTTTTTTTTCTTCAGATCTGAATATAGCTACAAAAACGCTAAAATAAGTAATTGTATATACTAAAAATACAAAAGACTGTCGCCCAAATCCATCCCATTTAATGTAAATTTAATTTATTCAAAATATAATCCTGTAGCTACATAATATCTATAAGCAGTTTAGTATTATGCAAGATGTTCTACCAAATTCTTGTAAGCTCTTTATCACAAAAAGAACTTCGTCCCTAGTTAACGCACTTATTGACTTTGTCTTTCTATTTTGTCGATTTTGGCTGTCCTTCTATGTTATAAAATCAGACAGTGACTTGAATCTTGTGTTCCACTATATAATGACTCAATTCGTTCGTTCATTCTGTTGTATGCAGTACACATTACATGTGAGATAAGGATAAAAGATTTCGCGACCTTTCTGTTGAATTCGTGTCTATTCTACTTATTGTTGCTTACATGTACAAAGGCGATCAAAATTTCCGAATTTCTGAATATTTTACATATCAGAAGAAGTGGATACACAACATAGCACTGACTCACTTGGTGCAACGAGTTCTTTGACTAACGATTTCGTCAGAGCGCACTTCAGATCTTCAAGTTCAAATAAAGAAATCACTGATGATGAAGCGAATTCGAACGCATGAAGTGAAATAGAATCAGAATCCGACGGTGAATTTTTGGAAGATCACGGGATCGTTCAACACGTAAACATCAGCTTCTGAAGATGGAATAATTCATCCTATCGAGCGCTACCAACATTTCATCACCAAAAATATTATAAGTCTTATGGCTCGCGAAACTAATAGGTATGTTGAACAATACAGGATGTCTCAGAAATAACCTATCACAAAAATGATTTCTTCAACCGAGTTTTCAATCGAATTGGACATTATTTTTTTATTTGAAAGCAGACAAAAATCCAAGTCGTCACCTTTCTGGCAAAATTCGAGTCTCATGTAACCGTTATCCGTGAATGACGGCAACAAGAAAAAAACTGGATTTTTCGAAAGGCGTTCAATTACAGCAATCCATCAAAAGTTTTCTGAGGCTGGTTCCGCTCAGGATATCAGTTCTCTAGGAACGCCAACAGCAAGAGCTGAAGATAAGATTGACGAAGTTGAAAATGTTTTCAGCACGGAACCAGTCAAGACTGTAAGAAGTGTTACTCGAGAAATGAACATTTTGAAGAGCCTAGCACATCGAATAATGCGTGATATTATCGGACTTAGACCATACATGATGTATTGCACTCAGAAATTGTGCGATGAGGATGTGGATTTGCGTTTTGAGATGCCCGAATGTTCAATACCAATTCTTGAAGATCAGGCAAATGATGGTAATGTTTTCTTTTCGAATGAATCATGTTTGTATCTTTCCGGATCTGTGAACAAGCATAATTGGCCCATTTAGTAAAAAAGTAATCCACATATCATCGTTGAAGCCATTGTGTTTTATGCAATATCAAAAATACAAATAATCGGTCTCTACATTTTCAATGATGAAACAGCCAACCACCATAACTATCGGAGATATTAAAAATGACTTTAATCTGATTTTAAAGACGAAAAAGCTGCAA